CGAAGGTGAGCGGCCTTCAGCTTGACAAAGTCCGAAAAGTCAAGGACCAGAGGGTGGTGCTGAGCTGCGCCAGCAAGGAGGAGTTGGAGAGAATGACGACGCGCGTTTTCCACATACAGGTGCGGGTGGAAAACGCGCGTCAGCGGAGTTCGCTCGTAATTGTCCGGGACCTTGTGACCTATAACAGCGACGAGGACATAAAGGCCGCTCTTAAGATGCAGAACGCGCGCCTGCTGGAGGGTCTGTCAGCCGAAGAGTCGGCCGTGACCATTAAGTACCGGACGAAGGCGCGGAACTCCCTGGAGAACCACGTCGTCCTCCAGGTCTCACCTCGGTTGTGGGAGAGGCTGACCACGGCTGGCAGAATCTACGTCGACCTGCAGCACGTCAAAGTGTTTGACCAGACTCCGCTAGTCCAGTTTAGTCGGCGTCTGGCCTACGGGCATGTGGGAAAGAGTTGCACAGAGGAGGTGGACCTGTGCAACCACTGCGGGGGGCCCCACCTTCAGGCTGATTGCCCTAGGTCCGCCGAAGGGATGGGACCTTCCTGCAAAAATTGTAAAAGAGAAGGGCAAAGCGACACAGGCTACTCTATTTTCGCCCAGGATTGTCCGGTCCGTAGGAAGTGGGACGCCTTGGCCCGATCGGCTGTTAGCTATTGCTAAGGTGGAATTTGGCGTCCAACAGGCAGTCAAACTGAATCCAGGCACCGCCACACATGTTAAAAGATTCCCCCACAGGATGATTAGGGCACGTTTGCCCGACGGTGACAAGACAACATCTGCTGGGCATGCGAGCCGGGGGCGAACAGCGTGCCAGACAAAAATCAAAATGACTCAGATCACAGCGGCGGAAAATGGTTCCCAAAAATTTTGCTATCATATTTTGTTACACTCAGGACCCTGATCATGTTAGGGGAGCATTTCGGCAAAGCAGGAGTAGGTTTTAGCCGGTAAGAGTCCGGCAGTACTCACACCTCCCTATTCGTGGGGAGGTGTGAGTCTCCATAAGGATTTCCCCTCCTGCTGTATAAAAAAAACCTAACCTAACCGAAATATCTTGGAAACCAAACAATCGATTTCGGAGCATCAAAAATTTTTACTTTTTTCATATTTCCGCGAGTCACTTAAGGGGCCAGTAGAATACCAGCGCAAGGCCCTGTCTTGCACATGCTGAACTAGTCCCATTTCGCGGCAGACTTGGGAAATTAGTTGATGTATATAAACTTATGTGTAAAATCTGTACGTGTCACCTATTTTAGCGTGTGAAATAAAATAAAGTCTTTCTTTCTATATTTGACCTAGGGCGACAAAATTTTTAATATTGCTACAGTGACTCATAATTTACGATTCGGATAAGTTTTTGCCTCACAAACTCCTGTTTCGCGACAAATCCTCAAAATTGACGTTCAAAAGTGCCTCTCTGGTCTAATTGAAATAAATGATTTTGACTTTGACTTTGACAAACATTTGGTGAAAAAACTTGTGTTTCATTGAAAACTTTAAATTCTTTCAGGATACCGACCCGGGATTTTCACTCGCTTGGACGGCCTGCGCCGAGACGCTTCTCACAACGCATCGCACGCCCCGATCGGATCACATAAAGTTTCAAAATTTAATATAGAGCAAACCTTTTTTGCAGGTAAACATTTTTATTTTATATATTGACGGACCGCATCAGGGTGATTTAATTTTTCCGGGTTTCCGCTTCGTCCGATTTATACTTGTAAAACGACGTATTTTTTGAAGGGGGAAGATCATCGAATGTCTGCTCCCGCCTGAGTGAGGAGGGCGGGAGTGCCAGACTGTTACTGACTAAAAACCACCCCGTTCCTTCTTCTGAACGTCAAGCCGGAGCCCCGGTTACCCGTTAGGTTCTCCGCGGCTCCGAATCGGCATCGGCCCTGTTGGGCCCCATCTGTGGTGGTCTGTTGGCTCTTTGAGGCGCACTCGGAACGCGAGGCGCCGTACGCTCGGGTCTGTTTCTGGTCGGACGGGGAGCCACCCATGCTCGCTGTCCGCAGGCCCGCACTTACTGTGGCCGGAGATTGTCCCGCGATCCCCGACGCCCGGTGTGTCCTTCGCGATAGCTGGGTTGCGAGGAGGCAGCGCTTCGCTGCCTCACGCGTCTCGCCTCCTCCTTAGCTAGCATGACTGTTTCGCAAAAGGAGGAGACGACATCCCAGTCCCCCTCATTCTGCATCATGGCCTGGGCCTGCACTAGGCCCGGACACGAGACGTTGCCATCGCCCATCACTTCCATTCCACATACACTTCAGCCCACGCAGGGCATTCCGCTAGTGTGTTCCACCGTGTCCTCGGGGCGGTCCTCGCAGTGATGACACCCAGGCGTTTCCTCCCGCCCCATCAGACACAGGTACCTCCCGAAACTTCCATGTCCGGTGAGGACGTGCGTCAGGCGGTAGGTGAGGATGCCGTAGCGTCTCTCAAGCCACTCCTCAAAGACTTACCGCTGCAATGGCAGCGAGCCCAGCCCTCGGTTGCAACAGTCGTTGCTGCCATTCCGCCATGAGATCGCGCCGGAGCTCTTCCCGTCACGCACTTATCTGGTGCGGTAGCGGAGTTTCGCCCCGGCGACGTGTCTCCGCGCGCATGCGATACACACGCGCGAGCACCTTCGCCTCCAGATCCCACGGCGGTAATCCGGCAAGGAGGTCCGCCGACTCCTCGGAGATCGTGCGGTATCCGCGGATCATTCGGATCGCCATGACCCTCTATGCCCGAGCGGGCCGCCACATCAGGTTCGGCGCCCGCACAGGGGCGCCGTAGAGGGCCATGGACCGCACGACCCCGGCGTATAACCTCCGGCAGGAGGCGTTTGGCCCCCAGAGGTTGGGGAGAATGCGCTTGAACGCAGCCCCCGTCCTCTCCAACTTTGGAGCCAAACGTCGGAAGTGCTCCACGAAGTTCCACCGACTGTCGGGGACGAGTTCTAGGTACTTCGCGTCTCGACGCCGATGGTAACCCCTCCCGCCGTTATTTGAGACTCACCCGGAGGTGGCGCGTTCCCGCGGCCATGAAAAAACATGGCCTCGGACTTGTGGAGCGCCACCTCGAGTCCTAATTGCCGGATTCTCTCAACGACTGTCGCCATTAACACGTTCGAGGGCGCTACCACTTGAGTCGGGTTTCCAGAATGACACAGTAAATGTCTATACAAAATTATACGACGTATCAGTACGTAGTGTCCCATGCAAAAATATTGTTTTAAACATATCATGACACAACCGTTTTATCACGTCCCCGTGTATATGCATCTTGGTAATGATACGCCTCGTTGGAGGTGTCGGAATCATCAAACATGCTTATCATATGCCTTATTTGCGCTTATATCCGTTTAAAACATACAATAACCTATTAAACATCAATTTCACATTGTAAAATCATTAATTTGCATTAAACACATAATACACAGTGACACAGCCGCGTTGAATGTAGGAGCGCGGGACGTATAAATACGTTGTGCATATGTGAATACCGTAACCGCACTCTATCAACGGCACTTATTTGAAATAGTTCTAAACTTACCCTCCGTGACAGTACAGTGTTGGGTATTTTATGTGTTGTGACACAAGATACATTCAAAAGGATTTTTACTTGAACTTTCATCGGAAATGAACGTTCTGCCGTATAATTTAAATGTTATTTGAACGTCATCGTACGTTGTGCGATATTAAAATCTCGAACGATAACGTATAATCTCGTTCTGTCCTCGAACGTGTTAAGCCGGCCGCCGCCTGGTGCAGCCTCCCGTGCGCTAGAACCAGCGTGTCGTCGGCGTAGCATATTGTGCTAACGCCGCTCGGGAGGTCGGTGCGCAGCACCCAGTCATAGTCGATGTTCCACAGGAGCGGCCCCAGAACCAAACCCTATGGAACACCGCGTGACATCTCTCGCCGGTTCCACTCGCCCCGGTGACCGGGGTAACTGATGGACCTGTCCGTCAGGTAAGCCTTGATTACACGACGGAGGTAGGTAGGCACCCGATGATATCAGAGTGCCTCCAAGATGCAGCTCCAGGGCAGGGAGTTGAAGGCGTTGGCGATGTCTCGAGACACCGCTACTACGACCTTACCCCTGGACACTGCAGTCTCCGTCGTGAGGTCTCTAACGCGCATGATGGCGTCCACCGCAGAGCGCCCTCTGCGGAAGCCGAGATGGCCGTCCGACAGGTCCGACCCAGGACCCGCCTCGTCGCACCAAGTGCGCGACGAGGCGGTTCAAAATGATTCTTTCGAAGACTGTCTCCACCTCGTCGAGCAGCAGCAGCAGCCTCGTCCGCAGGGCGCCCCGTTTTATTTCTGATGGCTATGGTTCAGATGCATTTACCATTTATTGCTAAGTAGATTTATGGTAATCTGGGGCAACGTCGTGAGGAGTGTAGATATTACTGTTTGTTGTCCTTGATAAATTTTTTTCTGGCATTAACCGGTAAACGAGCAGACGGATCACCTGGAACACCAGAGGCGTTACAAGTGCGTTACCGGCATTTTGGGGATTAGGAGTTTGAGGATCGTTGGGGATTCAGGGAGAATGGGGAAGGGGAGGGTAATTGGGCCTTCGGTAACCTCATTCACACGACGAAACACAACGCAAGCGTTGCTTCACGTCGGTTTTCTGTGAGGCCGTAGTATCACTCAGGTCGAGCCGGCCCATTCGTGCCGAAGCATGGCTCTCCCACACTTAAAAGATATGAAATAAAATAATATGAAATAAAATAAAAAAAATTTATTACCGATTTTAGCAAAAAAACTGATTAAGTAATTGATAATGCGAGCAGGACAATAGATTTACACATGAAAACAATGAAATAATCATGTCGTATAAATTTATTTATGCTAGAATATCAGCTGTAGATGCAAAATCATGTGTGCAAGCTCCCGATGGCGACAGCGGGCGCACGACGCGCGGCGCTCGCGGCTGTAAGTCATTGCGTAGCACCATGGCCTGCGACTCCAGCTCCAGTGGCGGCTCGTCCCCCGAGCTGGCGCCCGGCAGCTTGGCGCCCGCGCGCCGGCGACGCCTGACTCGTCGCCGGCGGGGCCGCGTTGAACAGTCGACGGCTTCCTCTAACGGTAATGTAGATCGGTACTGATCAAGCATGAGTAGCGCACGTCGTTTTGTTTCCTCGAGATCCTCCATAACTTCCGGCAGCGACGAGTTGAGCTCGGCGGCGACTACTACGGAATCTACTTCGTCCTGAACAGTCTTTTCAGTTTCAGCGCTCACAGGAATCACTCTGTAACATTAGATAAAGTTGGAGGGTAAAGTAGAGGATAGAGAACCGCAGGTAGGGAAGGAGTACGGTACCCACTCGACTAGATCGTCCCGCTCAAGCAACGCGAGCGGCTCGCGCGGATGCAGCAGATGTCCGCGACACAGCAGATGGAAGGCGCGCGGCAGCTGGTAGCGCGCGCGCAGGCGGCGGTAGAGCCAGTGCAGGCGGCGGCGCGGCCGCGCGCTGACGTACGCGCGCGCGCGGTGGTCGCAGTGCACGCGCCGCATGCACACACTGATGCGGACGCGCGCCTCGTCGCCCGACGACATGCCATCCGACTCGGATTCACTATCCTTGTTGTTCACCATCCTTCACAATAATTTACTACTTGGATTAACTGCTCTAATGTGGCGTCTATAAGACAGAAAATACATTGTATCTTGCATAGATCTTCATTTTGCATGACAATGGGTTAATCCAATGCAAAATTTCTCATTTTTTAATTACAGAAATATATTATTACAGAAATATATTTCAAAAAAATTGTATCTGCCATGTTTAGATTTTATATACTGTTCACAAAGTTCTATAATTTCATCAGTAACCTTTTGAGAATCAGAATCAGGGATTGAAAATATGGGGGGATTGGGCCAACACTCCTATTATAGATAAACAATGCATAAGTCAAGATCAATTTTCTGTGTCCCCCTACATAAGTTTTTCAAGTATACTCTCCAAATCTGTTCTTCATATATATTTATTCTATATAAATAAAAATAAATAAAAATGAATTTCCATTTGTAGTCTTGCTAAAACTCGAGAATGGCTGAACCAATTTGGCTAATTTTGGTCTTGAAATGTTTGTGGAAGTCCAGGGAAGGAAAGTTTAATTAAAACCAGGTCAACCAATTACATAACTCTCCGACTAAAACTTTCTTGTTGAAAACAATATCTGACCCTAATCATACTCTCAGACCACAAAAGTCAGTGTTCCTTACTAGGGTTTGTTGGTACTCTAAGGGCCGATTTTTCAATGCTCATATCAGAGGAATAACTATTATATAATATATGAATATTTGACAATTTTTCCATACTAAAAATTGTCAACTGTCAATTTTATTCTACCCCCATCAACATATCCCCAAGCGGTCACCGGTGACCACTCTCCACTAACTACATTATAGAACTTATTTCCAATGTTTAGAGACTACTTTTGTATGAACAAATTTAGGGGATGATTCAACAATTTTCAACGGAAAAGAATAATAATTAACTGTCGATATGACAATACTCAGATAATTATAAACTGAGGAATAACTTTGAATATTTGACAATTCTTCCAACTTAAAACTGTCAACTGACAATTTTATTCTAGTTAATAATTATCTGATGATTGAAAAATCGGCCCTAAATACTTTAAGCGATGAAAAACCATGTTCACCATGCCATGGCACATGTTAATACCTACTTATTTTGAGCCTCCGTCCGTGCGAACAACTACAATATCAGCCTTTGAAGTGCAGTGTTAACTTTGACTTGACTACCACTGCTGCTGCGTTTTGCCTGTTCAGTCCACTCCATTGAATGGCATTGATGTCCATTTATAGGTATTATTGTCAGCTCAATGCTTATCTGGTCAATATTGTCCAGTCATTGAGTTTGTAGATAATAAAGTCCAAAGAGTTTGTATTCCAGACTCCAGAGTCCAGTCACCACTGTCAGTCAATCATTAATATAACATGCATGCATGCTGTCACTTTGTATCAGTACCCAGAAGACTGGCAACATTGCTACAGACATTTTTAATTTTATATTAATTGATGAACCGACGCGACGTTTGACCACTACCTTTCCATTCCCAACTTCCAGGCAAAGAGTATAATAAGTATAGGGGATCTTCCAGGGAATAATAAGTATACCGTCAGGTGTCTTACCATCGTCGCATACCAAATCCTTTGGTTCCAAAATAGCCAGCACTCCAACCATGATAACAGCTCAACGAACGATTTTTTAACGCTCTTGGTCAGTGCTCTTGGTAGGTACATAAATTGTTTTTAGAATTTCACTTTAATTTCTTTGTTGGATAGATTTTAAGTAGGTAAGTTTCAAACTGTAAATATAATATTATCAATCATTCATTAAATAAAATAATCTCAAGTTCAATATTGAGGTAGAAAATGCATAAATATTAATATAATCGGTCCAAACGGAACTATTATAATTATTGTAAATCTGAAAGTTTGTCTGTCTATTTGTTTGTCCTGTTTTCAATCAAAACACTTTGGGCTTGCCACACGACATACGACAATGATAGGAGACCTGACGGTATGTCTATTATACTCTGGAAGTTGGGAAGGTCTTTAGTGTGGGACGCAACTTGCATCGACACCCTTGCACCTTCTCATCTTCCGGTAATGGCGGACCTGTAGTACCTTTATTATCTTTGAACCGTTTGGGGTTGAGATGTTAGGTCCGTGGTGGTCCCCATGGACCCCACGGACCTAAAAATAATTTAATATATAATATAAATTTAATATATAATTTAATTTAATATAAATTATAAATTTAATATATAATTTAATATAATATTTTTTTTTTTAATATCCCAATGCCCATAGTTTTTTTTCTCTTCTTTGGCACCCGAGTCTCTGCGAGTCTCCAATATTATGTTGTCGACTATACTGCCCGTGTCTCCCAGAACTTATTTTTCCCTCGGTCAGAGATTAAACATTTTTTGATGCTCTGTGTAAATAGTCAATTTTATGTGGTACATATTTATTTATTTCCTTATTTTTAAATTGCATTGCATAATTGTATATATAAGCACTAATAATTAATAAATAAATGAAATTTATATATTTTTTATTTTGAATTGATTATGGCCAAGAAATATTATACAGACAATATAATATTTCTACTATTTGTGATTGTAACTCTGTGCCCTCTGCCAATGATAATGAAAATGAATTTGACATTTGTTTGTGGATATATTTTTGAAGTTTTTAGTTTAAACATCGATTTGATTGATGTTAAAATTCGTTCGTTAGGTACTCTGAAGTTATTTTATAGTCGCGTTAGTTCATAGTTCTGGTTAGGTATAGCGTCGATATTTGTTATTACTATATTCGCATTATACACGATTAAACAATAAACCGTTAAACCACGTTCTTATCAAACTCCCAGATGTTGAACTATGGTTTCCGAAAATTGCGAGTACAGGATTTGAGCTTGCGGAGTAGGACAGCTTAGCTATAGGTTCATCAAGTGTGTGGGCCGGGGTGAGAGGGACATGTCTAACGTGGAGAATGTGTGCCCGCAAGTGCTGCGCGGAGTGGCGCGTGAGCTGCGGCGGCTCGCAGCCAGTCCACCCGCGGGCATCAAGCTCGTGTTGCGCGACGACGACCTCACCGACGTAGTGGCTCATATGGAGGGTCCCGGTAAGTGTTGGGATTAGGGCAAGGAGAGATTTAGGACGCTCACTTTGTATGCCCAAATAGTATAGGGCATAGGGCATTACCTATCGAAATCGATGGCTGTGCAACATTGCTACTAGAATTCTTGACTATCGAATGGAAAATAGAAGTCTCCAGTCTCTTTTATTGTGTTGCACCTGTTAGTAGTATAGTAATACACAAGTAACTATTTGTATGTTACTCATATGGACAGCATGGGGATTGAATCCGGTAACAGGCTCATCAGCCTGAGTCAGAAGTTTTAAGCATCATGTTAATGAAATTAATAATGTGAACTGAAGTTTGGAGTATGTCTTGTCTACCTGATGTTATTATTTAATCACCAATTCAATGTTAATTTCATTGTACATTGAGTACTGCCTCTTTCTATCTGAATAGCAATATCATACTTTAAACTGTCAAACACCAAGCGGTCACCGGTGACCGCAACTTATTGTTCTTTAATTGTGTCTATAATGACGGTACTCAATGAGTTAAGTGCCTTACTTGTTCTGGTTGCTGGAGCTGGGTTTCAGGCAACCAGACCATGTGAGAAGAAACATAGCCATAGGGTAAATGAAGGAAGTACTTTTGAATGCTTCCTTCATTTACCCGTGTGAACTACACAATCATACAAAATGTGTAACACATTACATACAGCTAGATGTTGGTTTCCTGAAAATAATTAATGAAATATTGTTTACAATACAATTCCCAAAAACTAATACTCAATCATTTACAATATTAATTTTATTAATATAGTATTAAAACTTATATTAGACTGTCAAACACCGAGCGGACACCGGAGACCGCAACCTATTGTTCTTTAATTGTGTCTATAATGACTGTACTCAACAAGTCAATATTGGAATGTTTAAACTGTCAAACACCAAGCGGTCACCGGTGACTGCAACCTATTGTTCTATAATTGTGTCTATAATGACGGTACTTGACCAGTTAATACTGTACAAACAATAACAATTCGGGAATTTTACATTAATAATATCGTCAGTGGAAAGGACAAAATGTTAAAGCGCCACATGGACCAAAATGACTTTTATACATGGCTGAATAGGTATTTTTTTTTCTATGCTAATCTGTGTAGTGTATTTTGTGTGTTAGTAATTAAATTTTTTCTGTTTTTCTTAAATCACAGCCTGCGTAGCTACTAAAGTGACGTATTTTCAGTGTATTATAGCAACTATCGCATAAGTATTTTTTCACTGGCAAAGTGTTTTGAAATTCACAACATAAGTATTTTTTGCTATTTTAAATCTCAATTGATGCTGGTACTTTAACAATTTGAGTTTTTTAATTATTATAGTTTATTGGTATTTAAGTATGTATTCATAACTGTCATTTAAAGCTAACTCACTTTAACTCGTCGAGTACCGGTTTGGTAGACACAATTATAGAACAATAGGTTGCGGTCACCGGTGACCGCTTGGTGTTTGACAGTTTAAGCTGATACTCACCAAGCAATTTAGTCGTTTTGTCAAAAAGGTTGTTGGAACTGTTTAGCAATTTTTGGTTACTGGATATTTGATTATATTGGAGGTTAGAAGTTTTACCCTGACTAACATTTACCTTTCCACTGTACCTCTATAGTTTCCTGAAATACCTTAAACAGTGTGTTTATCAGTGACTGTCTAAAAATTTTTATTAATTATCTTTATATACAATCAACAGTGATACCATTATTATGTTTATTTTTCTTTAACTTTTATGCAACATATTTCTGTATCCATGCCGCTCTTTTTGTATTTCTGCAAGAAAGAACATGAAGGGTAATACCATTCTATTAATAATTGCTCCTCATTTACTGTACAGATTTTTTTTCATTTTGTGGCCATGCATGCTGCTTATTGCTGGTATATACAATAAACTGCTTTCTGTCAGCAGTCAAAGATTGTCCAGATGGCTGTCTTAAACTGCCACTGGACTTGGTTAATTATCCGGTCACAATGTTTATGTTACAGTATGTGCAATGTACATTACAAATCCACTGAATATAAACATACAGACAAATTGCTAACACTGCAACTAATTTTTGCTACTTTATCAACTGTTACAATTTAATAGTTAGTTGACCAATAACTGTCTTAGAACTGACCACAGTACCACAGGTTTAACTATACCTTTGTGTAACGTTTATGAATAACTAAACTAAAATATTCATTTGGTTTATAATTAAACATTCTCATACCGAATTTAAACGAGTGCAGACAATTTCACTCCTTACACAAATGTGTTAAGCTCTACACTATCATTAGGAACTCAGTGGTTATTGTCAACTCCCATTCAACCTACAACTGAGGACCTGGACCATACAGTTTCATTTCCGAGTTAAACAAAAAATACTTAACAATAATAATTTAATAATACTGATTCTGATGTAGTAAAAGTCATCTATAATTTTTACAAATATTTTTTTTACTTTCATTGCAGCGGGCACGCCTTACGCGGGTGGCACATTCCGCGTGCGCCTGGTACTGGGGCGCGAGTTCCCGGCCGCGCCCCCGCGCGCCTACTTCCTCACCAAGCTCTTCCACCCCAACGTGGCGCCCGACTCGGGCGAGGTCTGCGTCAACACACTAAAGCGCGACTGGCGCCCCGAGCTAGGGCTGGAGCACGCGCTGCTGGCCGTCAAGTGTCTGCTCATCGCGCCCAACGCGGAGTCCGCGCTCAACGCCGAGGCGGCCGCGCTATTGCGGGACCGCTACGACGACTACTTCGCGCGCGCCAAGCTGCTCACAGACATTCACGCGCGCGCTCCGCAGTCCGCGCCGCCGCGTCGTCGGGTGAGTTATTGCCAGCCTTGCGTGGTCTACGCGCAGTGCAGCACCGTTTTATAGCAATTAATTTGGAAAACAGTGAAGTTTGTAAAACAACATACATACCGATCAACTAAAACATCGCCCTAACAACCCCTCGACAAGTGCCTACGCTTCTAATGTGAATTAGTTCATCGGCTGAGAAGAGCAAATGGCCTGGCCTGAATAACACAGTAGCCCTTACTCTCTAAAACTACTACCTCCTTCAACTTTTTTAAGAGATAAGCCGGTAAAGGAGCAGACAGATCACCATTGTCAAAAGTCAATGTCAAAGTCAAAATCATTTATTTCAACTATGCCAGAATGGCACCTTTGAACGTCAACAAAAAAAATTAAACGTGAAGCTATTTGCTCATTTCAAGGTGTAGATTCCTATGGAGAAGAACGAGCAAGAAACTCCATAGGTTACTCTTTTTCAATCAGGTTCACAATACAATCTACTAGTTACATAGTTTTGCTGTTTGGATTGTGCGAGAACATATATCATCATCACAAGCAATCAGCGCCTCCCATATATACCTGAAACACCAGAGGCGTTACACGTGTGTTACCGGCCTTTTGTGAATTGGGCATTTGAGGATTGTTGGGGATTCGGGGATTAGGAAACTGGAGAGGGGGGTAATTGGGCCTCCGGTAACCTCACTCATACGAAGAATCACAACGAAAATCGTTTTTCACGTCGTTTTTCTGCGATGCCGTGGTATCACTCTGGTCGAGCAGGCCCATTCGTGCCGAAGCATGGCTCTCCCACACTTAACTCGTCGAGTACCGGTTTGGTAGACACAATTATAGAACAATAGGTTGCGGTCACCGGTGACCGCTTGGTGTTTGACAGTTTAAATGACTGATCGCGTCGCATATAATAAATCTAACCACAAGGGAGTTGTACCTTGCGTCATCAGTCCCTTAGCTAGTTGGTTCCTATATCCTGCTAGTCGCTCTTTGTTAGCGCTAGCAGATTTTTTAAATTTCCTTCCTGAATATAAATGTGTAAGTAAGAATTTCAATCAAATAAGTTTTGTAGTTTATAAGAAATGGTGTCCCGGGATTTTAACGGGTAGTTCCCGGTCCCATTGGGTTTTCAAGATAAAACTTATCTAGTACTTTTTCAGGTGTTAAGCCAGCATTGTACGGAATCTCAATCAAATTAAACCATTAATTTGAAAGAAACGGTATCCCGGGCTTTTAACGACTAGTTCCCGTCCCCGTAGGGCGTCTGGGAAAACTGTTGTGTAAGGCCTTGGGCCTTTATTACTGTACGGAATTTCAGTCAAATAGGTTCAATGGATTTTAAGACACCCCCGTTTAGATTCAGTAATTCTGCAACGTCATTTTTGTTACTATTGTTTGGTGTTGGTGACGCTCTATCTAGACATATTTATGATCTAAGTCGCTTGTGTAAATCGATACTATCGTTTATTCGACGTCCTGAGTGATACAGTGGCGTGAGACGTGCGAATGACCGACGTTTGGTTGCAGGAGGGCGGCGACGCGGCGGACGGCAGCGCGGCGAGCGGCGTGGCTGCGGACGGAGACAGCGGGCCGCAGGCCAAGCGCGAGCGACGCGCGGGCGCGGGGGCGGGCGCGGGCGCGGGCGCGGGGGGCGCGGGCAAGGCGGCGCGCCGAGTACTGAAGCGGTTATGAGGCAGCTCAGCGCACGGCCGCGCCGCGCGCCTCACCACCTCGCTGCCTCGTGTCCGCTGACTGGCTCGGACTACTCGCTGACTGGCACGGACTCGCCGCTGACTATCTCAGACTGGTCGCTGACTGGCTCGGACTGGCCGCAGACGGGCCGCTAAACTGTTATGGAATTCGTTAGTCTTCGACGCGATTTCATTTGACAAAATTCGTATTTCGTTTTATTATAATATCAAAAATTATTTGGACTACAGTAAGACTTGCAAAATAAATTTTGTTCATAATAGATCAATATTACGGCCCGTTTTTATAATAAGTAGTTATAGTTGTAATTATGGTATTCCTATTGCTTTAGACTTTAATTAATATAATAGTGACAAAATATGATTTGGTTTTTTTAATAATCGTCATCTTCTGACTCATTACACCCAGCTAACTTAGGTACTCATTGTGTCAAAACCGACCACATATTTGTAATGGGGGGAGCCGAGCGTCCCGGACCCACGATCCTGAGGGGCCTCCAAACGACTTCATGTTTCCCTGATGAAATCTTAAATATGCTCAACACCCGTGTAACATTAATACAATACGGGGCCAGCAGCAAATCCTACCAAGGAGCCTTTAGTTTGCTTTAAGGTGCAGGTATTTTTAACAAAAAAAAAACTTTTTGGGTTTAATATTTTAGACAAAAGACAACGCCAAAACCGACTACTCAGCCTTGTTTGCCCTACCCTGCCTAGAGCGTAATTCACGCTCGCGTAGGAAGTGCGGTCCATGGCCCCCTACGGCGGCCTGCTCGGGCGCTGCTCTTGTCACTGAGGGTCATGGCGATCCGAATGATCTGCGGATACCGCACGATCTCCGGGGAGGCGGCGAACCTCCTTGCCGGATTACCGCCGTGGGATCTGGAGGCGAAGAAGCTTGCGCGCGTGTATCAAATGCGCGCGGAGGCACGTCGCCGAGGCGAAACTCTACTGCCCCGCCAGATTAGTGCGTGGCGGAAAGAGCTCCGGCGCAATCTCATGGCGGAATGGCAGCAACGACTGTCGCAACCGAGGGCTGGGCTCGCTGCCATGGCAGCGGAAAGTCCTCCTTGAGGAGTGGCTTGAGAGACGTTTTTTTTTTAAGGGGGGACAATCATCGAATGACTGGTCCCGCCTGGGTGAGGCGGACATGGGAGCTTCGGGAGGTACCTGTGTCTGATTGGGTGGGAGGAAACGCCCGAGTGTCATCACTGCGTGGACCGCCCTGAGGACACGGTGGAACACACAGTGAGGGAATGCCCTGCGTGGGCTGAGCACCGCTGTGCCCTCAGGGACGTGATCAGCGACGGCGACCTCTCGCGTCCGGCCCTAGTGCGGGCCATGATGCGGGGGGTGCCGTCTCCTCCTTTTGCGAAGTAGTCATGCTAGTTACGGAGGAAGCGGAGCGTGGGAGGTAGCGAAGTGCTGCCTCCTCACATCCCAGCCGTCGCGAAGGACACTCCGGGCGTCGGGAATCACAAGACGATCTCCGGCCTGCGCGGGTCTGCGGACATGTGTGCATGCATGTGAGGTTCACCGTCCGACCAGAACCGGCTCGGGTCTGGTCGTAAGGCGCGTCGCTTCCCGCGCCCACCTCCAAGAGCCATTAGACCAGCACGGATGGGGCCCAATAGGGCTGATACCGATACGAAGTCGCGGAGAACCTAACGGGTTACCGGGGCTCCGGCTCGAAGTGCAGGAGTAGGAACTGTGTGGTTTTTAGTCAGTAAGAGTCTGACACTCCCTCCCGCGTCTCGCCTCACCCAGGCGGGAGCAGTAATTCGATGATTTCCCCCCCTTAAAAAAACCCGCGTATGAACAACCCAACATAATTATTATATTGTCTTTACGATGCAATTTAAAAACATTTTTCAATGTTTTCCTTCTTCGCTTCCAAGTATGTACCTGTCTACACACTGTGATGTGTTATTTTATTAGAGCATAATCTCGTATGCGGTTTATAACAGATAATTAAATCAATTCATATATAAAAATTGTAAAAGTTCGGTCTGTACATGGAAGATAAATAAGAAAAACTTTATTCGGTGAACTTTATGTACACAATAGAACCCAAAGCAATGAGTTTTAGGATATTTGTATGTTTGTCTGTACGTTTGTTCGGCTAATGTCAAAATCGGCTTAACCTAATTGAATGTGGTTTCACTATTGCGTTGCGGTTTGCTGGGATTAACATTTAGTCTTTGTTTTGTGTAAATCGGTTCATAAATAAAAAAGTTATGTCAATCTAAAGAATTGCATTATCATCACATCAATCATTAAAACTAAAATGCGACAATATTCTATTCATCCTTATTATAATAAATATTTTCATATTCAAGTCTGTTGTAACGCCTACTAATTACTTTTTGAATTCGGGCATTCCATTCAAAAGAGAGGCTCAAAGCGCAAAGATATAATTTTGTTCGTAGTTTCCGTTTAATTTTGCTAGATGGGGCTGTACCGATTCGTCACAATCAAATCGCTGTGTTAAGATTTTTGTGAAAATAATGACCCTCCCAGACTGCCAGGCAGCTTTCTTTCGTGCAGGTTCTAAAAGTGATGTTCAAAAGGACTTGGTTGTCGATGCGTTTGCGATAATAATTAATACTGTTATTGGGTCGTTTAGTCAAAAACAAAAAAGTAGACGTTTAAAAGTGTAGTCTTTATTTCAAATTTTAAGGTTTTTTATTGCAGTGTTTTGGTTAGTTTAGTTTTAGTCTTCAGTTTGTTTTATTGTGAATTTTCCTTTGTGTTAGCTACCGACGGCCTACGGGCCCTACGGCTACGTAGTAGGAATGTGTAAGGTAAGGTAAAATAATAGTTAAATGTTCATTTCATGAATAACTTTTTCTTAGTAAAATTGTAATTTCTTAGTTAAGTTTATATTAGTTTATTTTTTTTTAATGTTACAGATTAATTCTCCACGGACTCTTGGTCGGTGCCCTTGTCATACAATATTTTGTTATTACAGTACGTCTAATCTATTTTTATAAAGTAAAGAATGTACCTAATTACATACTACAATTAATCACATCTATAATTATTACTAAAAGTATAAATTACATAACAATTAGGCATTATCTATTTATATTTATTTCGACGGCTCTACGAAATCAGCCCACCAACAAGAAGGGAGAGCCGACCTGACCCAGCAGAAGGCACCCGTGCACGAGGATGACGTGTGTGTCAACAATTGGTCCGGTCATCCTTTTTATTGGGAACGAACCAACCCAACACACTGTGCCACCGACTGTAGGACATTTATGTGTGCATGACGCCTCAACCCTTGCTACGTTGGCCGACTTCAATAAAGCTTACAATAGTCCAAAAGTCAATAGGTTATTTTCTATATCTTCATATTTCTGCATATACGTTTCTCCATGTTGCATTCGTTTCATCACAAGCAACATCAAACATCCGAAGAGGCTTTGGAAGAATTTAAAATCCACCTTGCTGCCTCTAAAGTCTGATAATGAACTACCCGCACATTTCAATGACCCAAACAAAATAAATGATCATTTTTTGAATATTCCCGGCGATACAATTACTTCCCTGTCGACTTACACCTACTATGAATTTCATAGGTTCTCTGATTGCATCCTCTCCCTTAATACAACCGATGACATGAAGATTCTAAGGATAATAACCAGCCTAAAATCTAATGCTGAAGGTTGTGACCAGATAGCACTGAATATGTTTTTGTTAACAATACCACAAACTTTGAATGTCCTGACGCGTATTATAAATGCCTCCATAGTAACGGCAACTTTTCCGGGCGCCTGGAAATTGGCTAAGGTACGTCCTCTACCCAAAGTAAACAATCCTGGCGAACTTAAGGATTTAAGGCCTATTAGCATTCTACCCTTAATGTCTAAGGTCTTGGAAAGGGTGGTAAACGAACAGGTCTCCAAATTTATAGAGGACAGCAGTGTTCTGCCGGATGCGCAATCTGGTTTTAGGAGGGGGCGTAGTACGGCCACGGCTTTGTTGGACGTCACTGACAATATACTGGCTGCGCAGGATGAGGGTTTGTGCACTATATTGGTCCTGCTGGATTTCTCGAGGGCATTTGATGCTATCAATTTATCCCTATTACTCTCTAAAATGGCGTACTACGGATTTGACATACCAACAATTAAATGGTTCGATAGTTACCTCAGCAACCGTGCGCAGCTGGTTGAATTTCGCGATGCTAATGGATCTTTCTTGGCTTCTGAGGTGAAACCTGTGACGAAGGGAGTTCCCCAAGGATCCATTTTAGGGCCTACCCTATTCCTATTATATTGTGCTGACATCATCAATATAATAAAAACATGTAAATATCATATCTACGCTGACGATATACAGATTTACTTGTCCTTTAGACCGGAAGAATACGCGAGTGCTGTGAATTCAATTAATGAGGACCTCGACAGGATAGTGAACTGGTCAAGCAATAACTGCCTCATCTTAAATCCATCCAAAACAAAATTCATGCTTTTCGGAACAAAGACGCAACTTTACAAGACTCCTAGTAATATTAACGTTCTCTTGAGGGGTCAAATCATTGAGCGTGTCGATGAAGCGCGAAATTTGGGTCTGATAATGGATCAAGGTCTTAGGTTTGAATCTCACATCTCAAACTGCGTCAGAAACTGTTTTTACCGCCTGAAGATACTATACAGAATGCGTCCGTATCTAAGTGAGGAGTTGCGTGTGCGGCTGGTTGAGTCGTTGGTTTTATCCAAGCTAAACTACGCTGACGCGGTTATTGGACCTAGACTGTTTTCACGCACTGAGCGATTGATACAGAGGGTTCAGAATGCCTGCGCGCGTTTTTGTTTTAAAATTCCACCTAGGAGTCACATAACACCTTACTTAAACAAGTATAATCTTCTAAAAATGAAGTCCCGACGTAAGCTCCACCTGGCATGTCTCCTCTTTGGTGTGATTAAGTATAAGTGTCCAGTATACCTCTACTCGAAGCTCTCGTGGGTGAATGCTCATCGGCAGCGGGAGGGTAGGCGGTGTGCACAACAGCTGGCTATACCGCAACACAAATCGGCTGCTTTTCGGGGTAGTTTCCGATATGCAGCTTCTAAGTGCTGGAACAACATACCTCCGCCAATCAGGAACCTGCAAAGCCCATTCACTTTTAAACGAAAACTCAAGGAGTTTATTATTAATTCTCAAATTGAGAATGAATCTATAAATATTGACATTTCGTTTATTTAATCTAACACTTATCTTTCTTATATATATTTTTTTTCTTTTTTGTTTAACTGGGTACACAAATTATGTTTTCACATTTTCATATTGATTTATTTATATAATTATTTATTAACTTCAGTATTATTGTAATGTAGCATATCTCGAAAACTCACCCTTGGGCCCCTTGTTGCCGCAGTGCTGGCGAAGTACCGACCTGTCTCTCGCTTCAACTTCGCGCAATGAGTGTCGGGCTGCGCGGTGGCTTCACGACATACCCACACTAATTTTATTGTCGTGATACAGTTTATAAATTTATTTTATTTTTATTATTTTTTTTCCTTCGGTGACGGTACACGTTACACTTGTTTATGTATGCATACTCATTTTTATTCATTTATTTATCGCACAATGTACATACTTAGAGGTCTGTTTTAATTCTTCCTTTTATTTTATTATTATCATTATATTTTTTAACATGTGTCTTATGTAACTATTTTATTTTCCTTAAAATTATTCTTCGTTGCTTCCGTCCGTGCGTCACTGCAGGGGTGCCAACTGAAAACCAGTGTTGGGTACTTACTGTGCCCAGCTCAAACTGAGTTGGCGAGCCCTTTCGTCGCGGACATGCTGCCACCCTGTTTTTTTTTTTATTTTTTTTTATTTTGCTTTTTTATGTTTTTTGCCTTCATTGTTGTTTTATTTTTTACTGCTGTTTTTTGTATGTTATTATTGTTTTGTTCTTATTGTTTTTTATTTTATTTTATTTCTTTATTTTTGTTTTTCAATGTTATTTTTTTTTTTATTATTTTGTGTGTTATTCGGTGGTCCATGTCGGTGGCGAATAAATTATTTTTCTTTCTTTCTTTCTTTCTTTCTTTCTTTCTTTCAGCATTCCCGCCGAAAAGAGCACCTACAACCGCCGCGTCCCTGTGTTTGATGGCCATTTTCAGGTTGTAGTCCTTAATCCCTTGCTCACTCTCATCTGCCGCCTTCCCGATTAGTTTGCTTATCGCGTCTTCACTGTTGTCTGTGTAATAGATGCAACCATGCGTGTGCTACTACCGCGTGTGGTATGCTATCGTGTATTTGATGTTGCTTCGTTGCTGTGCTCACAACAACCACATTCCCTGTGCCTCGTGTATTCTCGGATCTTAAGGGCTTCGTTCTGTGCCTGAGTGTGTACCAGGTATAAAGTGTCGGGGAGTGATTTTGGAATCATCGCTCCCGTGAAACTTTTTATCTCGAGGGATCTCACGAGCGACCTGGACGAGTATATGCCACTGTAAACTGTGTGTATGCCTACGCTACATCCATTGGATTTCTGTGGGTACACATCTATTCCTGGCTTATGGGTGAGATATATCTAGGGCGGCTGTAGAGCAGAGGGAAGAGGTTATCACGATCTATAAAACGAACCCTAGATTTGACTAGTACTCCGATTCGGCAGGATAATTTGCCTCTGAGGTCATTTGCCGCTTCAGTTGTTGTGGTGACAATTAGATCTTTGTCCGCTCCAAATTGATCTACTATCCATGTCGTTTTTCCGCATCCAGGGACGCCATTTGTCCAGCGAAACTCCGGAGTATGCTAGTCCCCAAAGACTTCGCCGTCCGGTCCAGATTCAGAAATGGATCTTGCCATCTCTAATATTCCATCGTCCAGCATAATTCTGGTGCATTTGGCAACCACTACTAGGGAATCCTCAGGAGAAGTTTTAAACTTTTATTCTCCGCATCGATCGGATTTCCTCTCGTCCAGAGACACAAATCCTGCAGTTGCGTGATAAGCAGCCATACTTCGGGTTATAGAGGGTCCTCTCAGTACCCTCGAGGTGTTGTTGTCGTATATGACTGCTTCTGCTTTCTTCTGCTTCTGCGTTTTTGTTAGTTTAGTTTGTTGTTTTACTTACATATATTTAAAAGATGGGAGAACATTTCTGTTTTTGGACGCTTGGACGTTAATTGTAACTATGTTAATTGACTCGTTAATGATGTATTGTGTTTTTTTTAAGGGGTAAAATCATCGAATATCTGCTCCCGCCTAGCTGAGGCGGGAGGGAGTGTCAGACTCTTACTGACTAAAAACCACCCCGTTCCTTCCCCGGTTACCCGTTAGGTTCTCCGCGTCTCCGTTTCGGCATCGGCCCTATTGAGCCCCATCTGTGGTGGTCTGATGGCTCTTTGAGGCGCGCGGGGAACGCGACGCGCCGTACGCTCGGGTCTGTTTCTGGTCGGACGGGGAGCCACCCATGCTCGTCATCCGCAGGCCCGCAATGATGTATTGTGTACTACGTGTAAATGGACGATCAAATTATGCCCAATTCAATCAGCAATTTAATTATCTTGTGGAATGGTTACCTATAAAGGTTTCGAAGCTCGACAGGTGTATAAGTTAGCGCTCGCCTCAGAGCGCCGAACGCGCACCCGTTACGATTACTTTAAACGTAAAACTAGGTTGCGTTGCACCGAACAGGGGGCTTACTCTTGGATCCAATTCCGATCGATCGATATTGGTATTGTGAAATTTCGTACATTCGAGTTACGACACTAGCCCCCCATTGCATCCGTATCGCGTGAATACTTAATGAACTTGTACAACCCACAAGTTTCAAATAAATACACATCACATCCAGAGTCCACAAGTGATGAACAGTCATACCGAACTTAAAGGAAATTACGTTTTTCTTTGCAGGAATCGAATGTCTACATCGCACTGCAGTGTTTTTTAAGTAGTAGTGTGTGATGTTTCCCATCCCAATGGGGTTGTTCGAACACGCTAATCTTAGAAATTACAGGTTCGATTAGAAATAATATTTTTGGATTGATTGTAGATTTATGAGTGGAAACAATTTATTTTTGACGAAGTCATTATCACTAAATCAGTATTCGTGACAGGGAGGATCGTGCGATCAATCGAGTGGAGCGTATCGTCAAGGCTTTTTTTTTTAAGGGGGGAAAATCATCGAATGACTGCTCCCGCCTGGGTGAGGCGGTAGGGAGTGTCAGACTCTTACTGACTAAAAACCACCCCGTTCCTTCTCCTGCACGTCGAGTCGGAGCCCCAGTTACCCGTTAGGTTTTCCGCGGCTCCGAATCGGCATCGGCCGTATTGGGCCCCATCTGTGGTGGTCTGATGGCTCTTTGAGGCGCGCGAGGAACGCTCGGCGCCGTACGCTCGGGTCTGTTTCTGGTCGGACGGGGAGCCACCCATGCTCGCCGTCCGCAGGCCCGCGCTTACGGTGGCCGGAGATCGTCCCGCGATCCCCGACGCCCGGTGTGTCCTTCGCGATGGCTGGGTTGCGAGGAGGCAGCGCTTCGCTGCCTCACGCGTCCCGCCTCCTCCTTAGCTAGCATGACTGCTTCGCAAAAGGAGGAGACGGCATCCCAATCCCCCTCGCTCCGCATCATGGCCTGCACTAGGCCCGGACGCGAGAGGTCGCCATCGCCGATCACTTCCCTGAGGGCACGGCGGTGCTCAGCCCACGCAACGATCGTCAAGGCTACCATCAGTCTGCGCAACGGTCGTACCTATATACATTATGTAGATGGAATTTATATCTATCAAACTTAACTAGTGCGAAACACTGTTGAACTTATCGTATCTGTCAAAAATAAAGTAAAAACCTTAGGTACTTAATTGAAATGTAATTTAATAAAATTCATAAGTATATGAACACTAGGGCTGGTCTGGTTTGTCCTGTAGCGGCAGCTCAGCAGGGTCGGCGCGCGCGCGTGGCCGGGGCGCCAGCACCCAGCGGTGCGCTAGTGCCGCCAGCGCCGCGCCGCCCAGCGGGCCCGCCCAGTATACCTGCAACACCACATATCGTCACATTTGAAACCATTGCCACACTAAGATTCTATCCATTGAATATGAAATATAAGCACTAAGTATAAAAGTCAAAAGTCAGAAGTCAAAATCATTTATTTCAATTAGACCAGTAAGGCACTTTTGAACGTCAAAACAAAATATTTAAATACTAAATAATAAGAAAAAAAAAAAATATATAAAACTATTAGCAAGGTATCTGCTATAATGTGATGATTTTAGACAAGTACCTGAATAAACGTTTAATAACTTAATAAAACAGGATTAAGAATGAATGACACAGAAGTGTCTCAAAACTGTCTGTAGCATACGGGCTCCAGATATTTCACAAAATTAAACATTTTAACCTTTCCTTCCCTATGCATCTACGAAGTAGCTATATTCGTGAAAACCAATAGGCAAAGGTTTGGTAACCTTCATTCCCACCGACATGCCGCCAAAATAACGAATTTACCCTCAAAAACAGCTCTGCTTTCTAAGTTTCTTCGGAATGTCTTCAAGAATTTATAATAAGCTTCCTAGAAAAATGAGGGAAATTGACAGGGTAGACTATTTAAAGAAAAAACTGTTTGACTTCCTGGTAAATAGACCATATTATACATTGCATGAATTTTTGTTTGACAGATTCGATAACAGTTGAAACGCCATTTTATGTTTTGATGCAAAATGAAATTAATACAACTTTATTCAATCAGCATTTAATATTATAATGTACAGCTAGTGCAATTTATACGTTTGTCACAAACTATTGTATGCCTAACATGGTGGAGCAGTGCCTGAACACAACAACCTTTGCAGCCAGTCTCAGAATAAAGATCTTTGACTTTGACTTTGAGCGATTAAAACATTGTTGTATCTCGACGACCAGCTGCTTGTTTTTAATTACAACGAATGATCACTGCTATGCATGATGCATTTAAAAGGAAAGGTATGAAAGTAAATGTGAACAAGACGAAATTGTTGGTGATAAAGAAAGGAGGTGATAACAGAATGTCGGGTAATGATAGGTGATGAAAAATTGGAACAAGTGAATGAATTTGTGTATCTGGGATCACTATTTACGAGAGATGGAAAGTGTGACGGGGATATTGAAAGGAGAGTGAAAGCGGGAAATAGTGTTAATGGTGCTTTACACTCTGTAATGTCGAGTAAAATAATATCCAGCAAAGCTCGACTTGCTGTAATGCAGTGTGTATTGACACCAAGGCTTATGTATGGTAGTGAATCATGGGTGTGGCAGAAGAAGCATGCAAGCAGGATTAATGCGGTGGAAATGAGAGCCCTGAGAAGAATGTGTTGACTAAAATTGAGTGATCGAGTGAAAAATAGTGTTATTAGAGAAAAGGGAATGTTACGCTGGTTTGGCCATGTACCTAGATGGATAAAAGTAGAGTAACGAAAGAAGTATACAGAGCGAATATGAATGGGGCCGTCGGTAGAGGGCGCCCTAGATGGACATAATATAGTGACCAGATTGGCCCTTTTATAATATACATATCGCCAAACTAAAAGTACCCTTAACCGACGAGCATGCATTAAAAGATTGATGACTGTTGATGAAGCGAAAGAGGTATGTAGGAATCGTAGTAATTGGCGCTCCCTAGTCTCTGCCTACCCCCATAGAAGACAGGCGTGAAGTTATGTATGTATGTAACTTAACAAAACAATATCACCACTTATGTTTCTTCAGTTATATAATTATTCACTTAAATACCACATACAAAAATGATATACACAGGGAACCCTAGTGTGATTGTGACTAGACTCTTACTGACTAAAAACCATCCCGTTCCTACTCCTGCACTTCGAACCGGAGCCCCGGCTAGCCTTCCGCGGCTCCGTGTCGGCATCAGCCTTATTGGGCCCCATCTGTGGTGGTCTGATGGCTGCTGCGTACGCTCGGGCCTGGTTCTGGTCGGACAGCGAGTTATTCGTGCTCGCCCGCAGAAATTAATTACGACTGCACGGTTGGTGCGGTGGCTGGGCAACTAGCTGCCGTGCAACGTGTCGCGGGTTCGATTCCCGCATGGAACAACACTTTGTGTGATCCACAAATTGTTGTTTCGGGTCTGGGTTTCATTGTGTATGTGAACTTGTATGTTTGTAAACGCCCACGACACAGGAGAAAATCCTAAGGTGGGGCAAAGTTTTTTTAAGAAAATTCTAATAGGGTAGATGCCCAATTTTTATTTTAATGTCCGTCTGGTAGATTATTATAAATCATTAGAGACTTATTTTTTATTTTCTTACAGAAACTAATACTTTCGACGATATATTGATTTAAAATGTCGCGTGACGTCACTTCTATGTACATTCTACATACGTAGAAATGACGTTTTAGCCCGCACTCCTCACACCTCCTCACTCGTTATTGAAGTACCTATTGTTTTATTATACAACAAAATAAAAAAAATATGTGTCTAATATTTTTTCAAAACCTAACTTACGGTCTTATTATATTATTTTTAATTTTCATATCATGCCATAATCCCAACTAAAAATAAGATAAATTAATTAAAAAAAATTTAATACCCTACTGCAAAAACACTAAATAGTAATTCCTTTCTGCGCTTTTTTTTATTTTTATTTAATAGTAAGGGCTTTTTTTCTTAGAGATAATGTCAGCCCTATTATAGGATACAAATAATACAAAAGGTTAAACTAGTCCTTAAACTGTCAAATACCAAGCGGTCACCGGTGACCGCAACCTATTGTTCTATAATTGTGTCTACAAAACCGGTACTCGACGAGTTAAGCTTAAACACAAAATATTTAAATGATACAATTTTCTAGCCTCTGATGATAATGGTGACGCCAAAACACTGTGATACAAACCAATATTAAAACTAAAGACCTGATATCTCTGAGACTCAATACGGCGACACTCATACAAAATGTGTTGCACATCCTCTACAACATCACATACAGCACAATTGGGTGATTCGACTTTATGCATCATGAATCCGAAACTATTAAGAGGCATATGTCCAGATCGGAGCCTTAAAGCTGTGACGATTTCTTGTCTACTCATCCCAACTTCACCGAACCAGAGAGCACGAGGAAGCATCGGTTGTATTGTTTTATACCAAATGCCTTTAGCAAGTGACTTTTTATCCATACTTTATAACAACTTTCTTTTATTACAGGCAGAAGTTTAGTATGCCACGAAGCACAAGTATAAACCTCCCCATCCGATCTCGCTTCATTAGCCAACCGATCAGTTTCCTCATTACCTTCCAATTCAATGTGGGAAGAGATCCATTATATCACAATACTTTTGCCCTTGGCCCTAAGGTCAAAAATAGATCTTAAAATACTGTACGCCAGTAGAAGGCCTCGTACAGATAAATTTGAATGAATTAGGTGAAAAAGAGCACTTTTTGAATCACAAAAGATAACAAACCGGTCACCGTCTAAGGATTGAATATACGACAACGCTTCCGCAATGGCAATTACTTTCTATGCTTCTGAACCGAACTTGTTCTACTAAGTTTGTATATAAATAAAAGATTTTTTAAGGTCGAGGGCAAAGAGTGAATTTAAAAAAATCCTTGATTAGCTCACCTACGCTATAAGAGAGTAAGTAGGTACCTAATGGCGTGTCAAAGTCCTCGGCCTAGTAGTTTAGGCTGTGCATTGAGATGTCTGTCAGTTTTTTCTTTTAAGATGCGTACATGTACACAATACATAATTATGCAGCCATACGTACCCATTGGTATTCCCAGTGTCCGTGCAGCAGAGCGGGGGCGAAACTTCTGGCCGGGTTGATACTGGCTCCGGTCGCATGGCCCTGCAACGTGAGTATTGTTCTGTGATGATCCGAGCGAGATATACAGATATTTCCGATTTGTACATGCGTTCCGTGGAGTAAGTAGTTTAACTTAAAAGCAAGTAGTTGGAAAACGTGGAGTTTACCCCTGCATAAACAAGGCCAGCGACGACAAGCCCCAGCTTGATGGGCACAGCGGGATCCGGGCGCGCGGGATCGTGCGCGCTCCACAGGCCGCAACAAGCCAGCGCCAGCACCCCGGTCAGCGCCGCCTCCAGCAGCGCCGCGCTCAGCGCCGACACGTTTGGCGCCGGCAGCGTGCAGCCTGTGGGTGCATGCGCCGCCTCAGCCGGGGTAGTGCCCAGCAGCGCACCGAAACCGAGCACGGCACCCAGCATCTGCGCCACCACGTAGCCTAGCGCAGGGCTGGCGCCCAGCTGCCCGTACAGCACCGCGGCCAGCGTCACAGCGGGGTTCATGTGCGCACCCGACGCGGGCCCGAAGGCACACGCGTTGGCGATCACTACGAAGCCGAAGGCCATAGCGGGGTGTGCCAGCATTACGGAGCCGGGCCCACGCACCGGCATCATGGCGGCCACTCCCAGCCACACCAGCAGCGCCGTGGCCACCAGCTCGGCCACGAGTGCGCGCCACCAGCGCCGCAGCCACGCGGCCGCACCATCGGAAGACTCTGTAACAGACTGCATGTTTCAAAGTGCCGTCACCATACGTTACATCGTTACAATATATGTGTCTACCTACGTTTATTAATTTCGGGACTCGTAACTATCTTCAATGTCGGCCTACAGCTTTCTGAATTTGGGCGTTAATTCTAGCAAGTATTTTAATTCGATGCATATAAAATTTATAAATTTTCAAAATGGTACCACGGAACACTAGTAATCTAATAAAAACAAATACTTAATTTAAAAGTAGTGCAACCTGACTCGTGCGTTGAGCGCGCGCACGGTACCTACCTCGATTAATGCGACGTACAAATAAGTGAGACTTCATTTCAATTAAAAAAAATAGCGAAGTTCCTAAGACTTTGAAAACTGCAAATATAAATTACTAACTGATGCCCGCGGTGTCGCTCGCGTGAAACATGTGTTTATTTGTAGATATTCCGAAATACAAAACTTTGTTTATTTAGGTACACTTCAATGACGGACCCACGTAGACAATTAGACATACCTACATCATACATATTATTATCATCCCTTTCCCTTTTGGGTTGATTTTTCAAAATCCTTTCAATGTGCGACTGTGGGTTTGGGTGCCTACATAACAATGTGAATATACAGGCCGAATTTCATGCTTGTGAGCCGTGATGATGAATCAGTCAGTCAGGACATGTTATTTATAACTATACTTTACTTACTTTCCGAGGCACGTTTTTGTTTCCTTTTTATGGCTATATCTATACTGTAATCGCTCACCAAACATTGAGTATAACCCTCGAATTTCAAACAAAATTATCTAATTCATTTAGATTGACTGTACCTATCTATACAAGGTGTAGTTTTGAAACCGTGGCATTTCTAGGGGGGCATGTCACAGAAGTTATAAAGGTTCAACGTAAGAGAAAATATTGGGCCAATACTTAAAAATACGGCTATAATGAATCGTTTAAGTTTTACAGTACCTATTTCAGAATAAGCGACAGCAATGTTGCTTATTGGAGTTTTATGGAATTAAGAATAAATTACGAGTTTGAGTTTGTGTGTGTTAAGCCGTGTTATAAAACTAGTTACAAGACGGCGGCGTGTAGTTCGCACTTACGGATTTCCGTAATTTACAGAGAAATAAAAAAATATTACCTAACTAAAATTTTTTTTATTGATTCGGACTCAGAATCGGTAGCCGAGTTACCTCCTAGAAAATGACGCGGATTCAAAACAACACTTGTAAATAAATTCTGAAATCCCAGGATTACAAAATCGACCGTCATCGTCATCGAGTAGTCTAGAACAAAGCAGCTGTAAAGGAGACTATAGAAAATTATTTAAAATATGCAAAATTCTACCGATTAATTTCAAACATAAATATCTTTTATTAGTTTAACTACCACCATATCCCGGAGCATGCCGGTAGATACAATGCACCCAGAGTCACCAACTATTTTGGTGATAGAATAGGTAGGTACTAAAAATGAGAATACCGTATCTATTGAATAGTCTGCCGGCACACGCAGTGAAACAAATTCAAATAGGTTTAAACGTAAATTAAAGTTATATTACCTAGAAATGTGTTTAATTCTATCTAAGTAAGTTTCAACGCCTGTATAATGTTTATAAGTAAATGGGGCTTAAATTGTAACATAATATTTACCTGTGTGATTTAAAGATAAATAAATAATAATAAAAAACATTCACCCTGGCGACAGTCAGAGGGAACCTTAGAAATAAAAATGTTTATCCATTTGGTACGAAACCCTAAAGAACACGACCAGCAAAACTTCATAACGGTCTTATATACCTAGCATACTATATTCGATGATTGTTGTTAGTTTATATACTTAGCTGTATGATACAAAAGTTATCTTACAATAAATGGCTATCAGTCGAATAAAAATTATTTATAAAATAAACTTAATTTATCTGGCTAAATGCAGTTTCGTCCATAAAATTCAGATTACATCAGAGCTATCGTCGACCTTTGATGTTTGACACTAGTGCACACAATAGGTACTGGTGATAAAACCAGTACTTGACCACAACACTCTCAATACTGACGTAGAACACGCTGCGCGACTCCACTTTATTTCATACTTTTTTTTTTTTTTAAGGGGGGAAAATCATCGAATGACTGCTCCCGTCTGGGTGAGGCGGAAGGGAGTGTCAGACTCTTACTGACTAAAAACCACGCCGTTCCTTCTCCTGCACGTCGAGCCGGAGCCCCGGTTACCCGTTAGGTTCTCCGCGACTCCGAATCGGCATCGGCCCTATTGGGCCCCATCTGTGGTGGTCTGATGGCTCTTTGAGGCGCGCGCGGAACGCTCGGCGCCGTACGCTCGGGTCTGTTTCTGGTCGGACGGGGAGCCACCCATGCTCGCTGTCCGCAGGCCCGCGCTTACGATGGCCGGAGGCCGGAGATCGTCTCGCGACTTTATTTCATACTAGCTTCTGCCGGCAGCTTCGCCAGCGGTCTTGGCGGTAAAAAGTAGCCTATATATACTATACTTAGTACTCCAGACCATAATCTATGTCTGTTCCAAATGTCATCCCGGTCCCCTCAGCCTTTTTGATGTGACTGAGAATCAAACATACAAACTCTTATATTTTCACATTTATAACATCAGTTCAAGCTAATTCAACCATCGGTCCTATAGTTACAGCGTAAAGTCCACTGCGGGCGTCTGCGGGCAACCTAACATTCGACAAACTTACTTTTGCGTTTGGTACTACCTACTGTACCCGGCTCAAGCCCTAGACACAGTTACCACTGTGTCTAATTTATTTTTTAATTACCTAATTTATATTTTTTAATTATTTTATGTTCAGGATTTACACTCCTACAGTATTATTATATGTAGGTATAGATATAGATTTAAAAAAGATTATATTCCTAATCATTTGTAGCAATTATGCGAGAATTTATTACAATAACAATGAACGTATATTTTTGATTGATTTTGACTCAGAGTTCAGAATTAATCAACGGGGATTACGATTTTTTTATGGGAGAGGAAGGAAGCAGGCCTGATAGAGATAACGGTCCCCATAGACAGTACAGACCACAGAAATACTTACCTATTATATCTATGGTATATACCCTCCACCCCTGCACTTACACACATCGGAGGTCTGTTTGAAGGTCGTACCGGTCCGGAACACTGTCGCAACCGAGGGCTGGGCTCGCTGCCATTGCAGCGGTAAGTCCCCACTTTGAGGAGTGGCTTGAGAGACGTTACGGCGTCCTCACCTACCGCCTGACGCAGGTCCTCACCGGACATGGAAGTTTCGGGAGGTACCTGTGTCTGATGGGGCGGGAGGAAACGCCCGGGTGTCAACACTGCGAGGACCGCCTTGAGGACACGGTGGAACACACAGTGGGAGAATGCCCTGCGTGGGGTGAGCACCGCCGTGCCCTCAGCGAAGTGATCGGCGATGGCGACCTCTCGCGTCCGGGCCTAGTGCAGGTCATGATGCGGAGCGATGGGGACTGGGATGCCGTCTCCTCCTTTTGCGAAGCAGTCATGCTAGCTAAGGAGGAGGCGGGACGCGTGAGGCAGCGAAGCGCTGCCTCCTCGCAACCCAGCCATCGCAAAGGACACACCGGGCGTCGGGGATCGCGGGACGATCTCCGGTATCGGATCGTGGTATGTATATGGCGATATACAATGTGATGGCTATATAATTCAGAATTCAGACAGAATTCTCTAGAAGTACAATCATTTACATTTTAAATATGTGTGTCTCCCAAAATAGCTGACCCACGGGAACAAATATGTTAACGTCCAGTATGTAGGGCTAGGATGCAACAAGCCCAGTGGCAAATTAAGGGCGCCTAAATTCTATTGTGAGTTGTGGGGGCCTTCAATCTTAGACAGAGTGTCCCTGGATATATGGATTCAACTGGAGTGGGGCGTGGGGAAGGTCATTGCCAAAATAATTCAATCAGAGGCCTGTAAGTTTATCTAAAACAAATACTTGTACCTAGTGCGTCTGCGAGTGATACGTAATGCACCCTGAATCTTGAATCAGAAAGAAAGAAAGAAGAAAGAAAAATAATTTATTCGCCACCGACATGGACCACCGAATAACACACAAAATAATAAAAAAAAATAACATTGAAAAACAAAAATAAAGAAATAAAATAAAATAAAAAACAATAAGAACAAAACAATAATAACATACAAAAAACAGCAGTAAAAAATAAAACAACAATGAAGGCAAAAAGCATAAAAAAGCAAAATAAAAAAAAAAAATTAAAAAAATACAGGGTCAATCACTTCAGATCGTCTACAAGTATCTTGATGATAAATGATAATTGACATGTTGCGTACTACCGAAGTTTGTTTTCTATTTGTTTGACTTTGAGTAATATTTTATTTATTTATTTATTTAAAACCTTACCTAAAACTAACTAAGTACTTAAAACTCACAGTTTTCTCCATTGCGATAGTTGAGGCCTAGAACCAAATCTAAGTACCTACTTAATTACTAATTTAAAACAAGACAAAACGAAATGAAAATGTGATCTTTGCAGTATCTGTTCAGACTTCAGTAAGGCTTTGATCGAGTCTCGCTCATCATAATAAGTCTAATAATAATACTAACTACTGATGCTAATAGAATCAGCACGACAATGTGGATTTGAAATATATTTTGTGTGAAATGATAAGTGGAAAAGGTTCTATACTTAGTTATGTGTGAAATGTTCCCGGCTACATATGTTCTAAACCCAGACGATGTAACAACACTTGGAGTTTGCAAAGTATAGAGGTATAGGGCCTGGACCATCGCCGTCAGTGACAAGTATAATAAATTGATTTCAATAAGTTTGGAATGAAGTCGGTAAAAAAGTAAGTTCTCACAACACTCTGCGTCCAAGTCGTCAGTCCCTAAGCATGTGGTTATTTTGCTTTTTAGCTTTTAGCTTGGAGTTTGTAGACAAATATTTATTAATACATACAATTAGAGAAAATAAACTTTTTAAAAACAAGCTTTTATTACTTGTAAAAAAATG